GACAAGGTGAGAAAACAATCATTTGTTTCCATGTATTACCCATGCAATCCCATCAAAGACTCAGAAAGTGATGGAACTTAGCTTGTACTGTGCTTTTTCTAGGGTCCAGCTTCACCCCCCACCCCCGTAAACTTTATAATGATAAAGAAAAACTAAACAAATACTAATAAAGTAGTAAGTATGAAAGGGATTCACTACAGTAACCTTAAATAAATTTGCTAAAGACTACACTTTGTTATTTGTTCACAATAAAAATACTCTGTCCATCAAAAGAAAGGTAATGAACTACTGTGAATAAGAGAATGTTAACTCAGAGTTTAAACAAAGAAAATTCTAGTGTTCTAAGAGCTGTATTGAAAATAGGTAGGTGAGAGTGTTCACAAGCCAGACATGGATGCTGTCACAACACGCTTTTAGAGAAGTCAAATCAGCTCTTTTATAATTTAGTGTTCCCAGACTCTTCATGACTTTCCTTATGATCTGTAGAGGTTGAAGAAACCTTGAATGCCACGGTAATAAAGATTTTTTTTTGTGAAGGTCATCAGAGTGGGGTACAGTAGATTTTGTTTATATGACACCTTTGAAAAGCCTGTTTGAAAGAAAGCCTGGTGCAAGAAGTCACCTACATAACACACAATGTATTTATGACATAGAATCATTTTCACCTGAAATAAAATATTAACTAATTCACCTTTGTCTGTAGCTTTTAAGAGCTAGCCCTTGATTGTGGCAGGGCTCACAGCCTTTTGGCACCTAGGTGCTTCCTGTTAAGATTTCAAGACTGGGGGATTAAAAAAAAAAGGCAAAAGATCCCAACACGGAAAAAAAGTTACTTGATTTTTATAAAAATGGTTTAATGTGACTGTGCCAGCCACCATTTCTAAACTCAGTGCTTTAAAAGTTATACTATGCAAAGGTCACTTGATTCTTATAGTGAATATTTAAATAATATATTTGAATTAGGTATGCATTAAGTATGAGGTGTGTGTATATGTACTCATTATGAAAATGGATTTCAATCATCATATAAAAGCAAGCTAGAGACAAATACCTTATTTAATAACAATATTTAATTATTCAAAATTTTATACAGATAGCTTTTAAGTGCTTACTACAAATAATAACCATAAAAAGGAATTAAGAATAAGAACACACAGCAACAGTGTCATATTACTATGACTGTTTTTAGGATTTAAAAAGGCTCTAACTAGAACATTAGTATTATGCTTTATTTACAAGAACTTCATTTTCCTAGTATTGATTCTTTAATATGTCATTTTATTGACTTCAGCTTTATACTTTTTGGAACTGAAGACATGGTATGTACATTAAGAAGCTAAAGGGATGGTGATGGAACACATGTAATAAAATGAGCCATATCTAACTGGGGGAGGAAAGGGACCCAGCTGGAGCAGGGTAGTAATCACGAGGAGTGCAGCAGGTAATGGAATAAACAAGAGCAAAATAATGACACATGTGCATAAAGACGCAGTGATGAAAACTATTATTGTACGCTAACCTAAAATGTGGATGAAGGCTTACACGATTAAGGAGTGTTAGTTTCTATGTAAATCTATCTCTTTTGCATAATATCAAGAATGCAAATATTTCCTATGCAACTAGCCACGTGCAAAGTCATTCTTAGAGTCCGGGATAGAACCCAATTGATGGTCCGTTTTATGGGCAATTTCCTGTCAATTGAGAAATCATTTGAACATCAAGGAATAATGCCAAATATAAAGGCATTTCTACACTGGCCATTTGGAGCCTGGAATGTATCTATTGCTGGCCCTGTGTCTCTGGATACTACATTTTGTTTGTTTCAGCTTGACTCTTCTTGATAATAATGCAGAGGACGCAGAGTTTCAGAACGGCGTTTAGACTTCATGCTCCAAGTGATTGTGATTCACGTGTTGAAAGAAGAGATGGTCAAGTTCTCTGAACTTGGGAACCTTGAAAAGCAAAATCGATAGTATGACACTTCATGGCTCTTTCACTGACCTGTCTAAAGTTAGTACTAAAGCAAAGGTGTTTTCTGTAATTATTATCTAAACTTAGAATAAAAATTATTTGAATTAAAGAAAAATATACAAGCAAATAATTTATCTCACCAGCTTTGACTGCATTCCCTGTTTCCTGACCCAGTTTCCCTAACAATCTGTTGAAGCACTTATCCCATTCAGAGAGTTCAGGAAATGGTTTGGGAAAAAGCAACCATGGAGTCAAAAGGCAGAATGTGGGGCTGGAAAGAAGTTGGAGTTTGCTACTTATAGGACCTTTGGATGTGTGCTCTCTAAAAGCTGTCAGCCTTACACATTACATTTGCTTTTTCCTACTTGTACATTGAATATAATACGTCATGCTATTGACCAGTCTTTTTAATAAAAAAATCTTTAAAAAAATTGTTATAAAGAACATAAGTGGTATTTGCTGGTTAAACTCTATGCTTGTTTAGTTTCTACTTTGGAAAGTATCTTCCCTTTTGATGTGTATTATTTTTCACCTGCTTACCTTAATTTATGCATATATGTGTGCCCACACACGTTTATGTGTATCATATACATGCAGGCACCCATGGAGGTCAGAAGAGGGGGATGCCTGGGAACTGGAGGTGGCTGTGAGCCAGCTGACGTGGGTGCTGGAAACTGAACTCAGGTGTTCTGCAAGAGCGTTAGTTAAACTCAATAGCTGAGCGTCTCTTGAGCCCTTAACTTTTTTATTTTTCCTGGCTAGGTGCACTGCCTTTCTTCCTATTTGTGAGTAGAGAGTTCATGTAGTTTTAGCACACATATGCTACACAAGTGTTGGGTTGTAAACAAAGCTGTCCTCAGTGGTGTTGAGACGAGTGAATGGAACTCACTTCTTCCTAGGCACTGGAGAGGTACTAAGCACTGTTTCACATGGTGAAAAAGCTGCTAAAATTTCTGTTAATGATAAATATTTTAAGGTTATTTTATAAGAATTTCTGGTGTTTACTTTTCTGTAAGTAAGCAAATACACTAGGGATAATGAATATGAGTCTTAATTGGCAGCTTTTAGGCATTATTTATTATTATTATTATTATTATTATTATTATTATTATTATTATTATTCATAGTGTTCTGCCTGTATGTTTGCCTGCAAGGCCAGAAGAGGGCACCAGATCTTATTACCGATGGTTGAGAGCCATCATATGGTTGCTGGCTTTCTTAACCACTGAGCCATCTCTTCAGCCTTTTGGGGCTCTCTCTTAACTGGCTAGCTCCCTTAATCAAAAAGACTATCAAACTAACAGGCAACTGGTCTACACTTAGTTTTTCTGATGTTATTAATGAACCTAATTTCTCATGCACCAGCTTTCTCATGCATGCTACAAGGTGCCTTGAAAAAAAACTACAGAAAGGTTGCTGTGTGGCCCCAGCCAGGGTTCTTAGAACCAGTTTGCACCAGGTATTTTGCTACCAAAAGGCACAATAATTTCCTGGTGATTCTGTGCCCACTTCCATGCTGGCCAGAGGGGAAGCCTTTCCTCTGGTGCTGGCAGAAGGAATTGTATGGCTGGTGTTAAAAGGTAAAGGCTATGGTTTGTCCAAAACTCACGCCTCAGTGAGTGTGACTGTTGCTGGAGACAAGGCTGCGATTGAACGAAAACGGGGCTGTAATTGGTTCAATTACCGCTTCTCAGGCTGTGTATGTGTTGTGCTGCTCAGCCTTACCCAGGGAACCCGCTGAGAGACAGCGCTGCGTTGCCTTTCCCGACATTGTATATCAGACCAACAAACAGCTTCTCTTGAT